CCCAAAAGCAGCAATATAGTTGTTTCACTTTAAATGCACAATCAATGTAATTGCTTTTTTTAAAAAGAAAAATACATTTTATAGGGGAAAAAAACCAAGCCTAAATGTGATTAATTGGTGAGTTCTTTATGTTAGTTTAGTGTTCCTGGGTTGAAACACAACAGAACTGTAGTGTATTTAAAAGAAATATTTTATACTTTTTTTTTTAATGCTGCAGAGGAAAAGATTCTTGATGCTCTGGGTCCCTAATCAATCATAGGTTACATCTTGGTAATGGGCTTGGCCCTAGATGGTCCTTTAATAAGACTATAGAAGTCCTTTGAGACCTATTAAGGAATATTGGAAGGGGTTGGAGTAGAGAACAATCCACTTCTTTTATGAGCTTGCTCGGAGGAGGTTGTCAAAATGGGCAGGAGGAGTGGTGAAATTTATGGACCATCCATTGACGCAAATGATATTAGCGTGTTGAATGTCACTATACTTTATGGTACTAAACAGGTTGCAGTCTATACTGCTTTTTCACAGTCGACTGTATGAATGATGAAACTGAAGAACCTAGCATTTTCCTTCTATTTTTATTCTTTTGAAAATAGAACATTTAAACCACAGATGTCCAAACTTTGATTGGTATTAGTTCACTCCAACTTTTTTCAAAGGAGAAAATTGGATAAATCTTTCCAACTTAAATCTTGTTTGTATTTGGCTGCATCTCATATATATACATTGGAAGCTTTTGGTTAAATAATTTTAAGAGGGAGCATTAATTTATTTATAACAAATTTGTATGCTGTCCAATTCCAAATAGCTCAGTGTAGCTTACAGACATATAATACTAAAGCCATACAGTCATCAGCATATGCAACATAATATTCTAAAAGCCCTAGTATTTATTTTAACAAATTTGTAAATATACTTTCTTTTGTGAAGGAGACAGAGATATGGGATTTAAAAAGCCCTCTTCAATCCAGCATATTGAATCATTTATGGTCACTATCTCTGTATTGGGCAAGATGTTGATGTCTTGAGTTCAGGAATATCAAGTGTTTCTATTTGTTTCAACCTGTTCTATCCCAAGCTTGAGACTGAAAACAATGGCGTCAGCCTGTTGATGAGAACTAGGCAGTGGGAGTGTGTCTTTTTCTGTTTGAGCTCTTAGCAGCTTTTGATACTATTAAATATAGTATTCTTTGGGGTCAGATGGACAGTATGATGGTTTGGCTGTTTTTTATTGTGTTGTCACTCTTTCCTAAAGAGTAGATTCAAAGTAGACTTTATTTCCTGAGCTTTAACCTAATACATCCTCACCTCCCCCCACCCTACCATTTCTTTTAACATCTTCATGAAACTACCAGAAACTACCATGTCCAGGGTTATTAAACTCAATGTCTACAGCATAGTGATGATAACTCAGCACCTTTTATCCTTCTACCTCACTCTAAGGAGGGATGGAGTATTTGTTTCTGAGTGCAGTAATTATACAGAATAATAGATCAAAACAACTAGAAATGCCTTTTAAGAGAATAGTTGATTCCAGGATGAGTCTGTAACCTGTCTTAGATGGGTTTGGATTGTTCACCTCTTAAAAAAAATAAATCAGGTTTGCCATCTTACTGTTTTGAGAATGTTTTAATTATGTATTTCTGTACTTGTTAGTCATCCTGTGTAGTTCAGTTTTGAGAAAGAAAGATGAGGGGCAAATGCTTTTATAAATAAAAGTACCACATAAAATTATTGTAGTAACAAAACTCCAGAGCTATCCATTTAAATGAATGAATTGAATTACAACCCATGCATTAATGGATTATAATTTTTTAGAAATGTAGCTTTGACCTATTTCTCAATAGATTAGCAAAATTATGCATGATGAGTGGTTAATTAAGTTGTATGGTCAACCTTTGCTAACTACTGCATTTTTCCATCTACCATCAATACAATCCAGAGACAAAAAAAGGAAATAAGAAAGCTTTTAGAAATTCATTTGTATTATTACTGTTGAATGTTTCTTGTGTTGTGAATCATCTCTGCACATTAAGAATGGTATTTTATCATTCTCATCATCAGTTGTAGAACATGGATGGTTTTACAGTTGATTCATAATCAGATGGAGATGTTATTAAAATAATATGAAATTAAATAAATAACTATTCAACTGCTTTGTTTTGATTTATTTGTTTATAACTTGATCTTCCAAATTAATAGTTGGTAATTTGCCTGAGGCTCTTCATTCAGTTTTCATAACATGAGCTATAAGCTCTGTGATAGTTCTTATATGAAAATTCATTTCAGCTGCAGAGAATAATAGCAGGGAAAACAGCAGGAGTGGTAAAGAAGATACATAGCAGAGGGAAAGAGTTACGTAGATGTTTTGGGTAAGTGGGCTTATACTTCATTTTTATCCATTCGAGGAAATTCATTATGAGGTAGTTCAAATATTTTTAAAATAATCAAATAAGAAACCAGTCTTTGTAAACTCCACATTCTGAATTTTTTCAGTGACTGTAAGACATAACTCTGCGTTATTAGGAATCCTTCTTATTCAGAGGTCCACAAATTTCAGCTGGGTAACTAGCCAAGCATTGTTTTTCCTTGAGATACTTCCTTATCAGTTCTCTGATGACTGAAAAGAGGACTAAGATCACAGTTGAACATAATATAGATTTTGGAGCAGTCCAAAGCAGCCTCTGTCTTGGTCCTTTCAAATTTCCCCAGTGGCTGGTGATGTAAGAGCCATTTGTGCCAGATTGGAAGGAAAGGCTACTGAGGGGCACATAATATCTCAATGTATATACAGCAATGGGCTCAGCAATCAGCAAAAATCATTTTGTGGTTGCCAGTGCTGGCTGGCTAACTGTGGTTGTAAACCCCATGTTTTTATTTGTCTAGGGTTGTTGTTTGACCAAAATATTTTCTCCTATTTTTAATGTCGTAAGTTAATCAAGTACATAATAGTTTTTTACACATATTTTTATTTACCTGTGAGAGGTTAACAAAGTGTTATATGAAGTCTAAACTCTATTTACCTTTGTAAATGCTGTTTATAACTTTGCCAACAGTTAACCTATGAAATATTATTGCTTTCAAATTATTTATGCAGTGAATCACTTCATGTTAATTAAATTCTGAATCAATCCGAGTTCTGAGATGGCTAAATATTCATTAAAGCATTTGCAAAAAAAAAAGTAATGTTCCAGATTATTTGCCTGTGATGCTATCAGAGAGATGCTGTAATGGCCTTTAGTATGCCTTTCTTTATGCACAACTCCATTTATAGTTCTGTACTGGTGCAGCATCAGATGATAGCTGAATATTTGACAATCCTGTCAACTCACATGAGAATTCATACATAAGAATGACTTAAAATAATATTTTTTCAGCAAATGGACGGTGGATTGGCTTCTTTAAGCTTTGTACATTTTTCTGAGGCAGTAGCTTTAAAGTGATTGTGCCTAATGAAGAATATCTTTACATCTTGTGTAAGAGTCTGGGAAATGTTCTTAATACCTGTTCAGTTTTAGAAGATGCTGGCCAGACCTGGTGAATCTCATTATAGTTCTTTCTAAACTAGGGAATAATTGAATAAGCGTTCTCACAACTGTACATTGTAAAAGATTGTGTTACTCAGAAAAGTATATCTACCAGAACTTTTAACAAACTTCCAGCTAACTCCAGGGTTCTCTGAAGCACAGGTCAAAAGCCATAGGTCATAGCAATTGCCATTACTAGGAAGCTAAGCAAAATAAAATATGTTGAATCATTTCCTACGAAGAGTTAACAACGAGCATTGCTGTGGTGCAAATGGTAGAATTCTCTAATAGATCTCATTTATTCTTATATTCCCCTTGGGCAATCTTTATAAACTGGATGACAACAATGCTGGGTATCTAACAGAGATATATAAAATGAAATTCTGCCATAGAAACCCTGAGCAGAGCTTCATAGAATATTCATGTCAAAGATGTGCTGGCCTAGAAAGGCAGACCATTTGAAATGGCTCTGTATACATTTTAAAAAGAAAAATGATGATGCTTTGGAAAATATAACATTCTGGATAAGCCATCACCAACTTGTTTTTAAAAGAAATAATATACATTGATGTTTCCTTTATCCTCACTTTCTGCTCCTCCAATTCCAGATAACATTAGTCTCTGTATTCCTCATTTCTGGCAACATGAATGAAATGAAAACAAAATACCATTTGATATAATACATTTTAATATTATGAAATTATGTAAGAGGAAAGGGCAAATGCACCATCTCTAATAGCGTAGGGCTATCTAAGTGGTGGCTTCCAAATAAGGACAGAACAGTATTATATCCACTGAAAATAAAGAAGTTCACCATTCTTGGTGTAGCTTAGGAACCGTGAGTTATGGCCTAGATCTGGCATGTCATGGCAAAATAATTGTCAGGATCATCATCAGAAAAAAGACAATTGTTTTAAGTGATGTTTGGGTGTATATGAAAGAGAAAGAGAGGAAAGATTCTTGAATGTATGTTATCAGAAGTGTTGATTATTTAATGTTTGCTGGAATAAAAGTTGGGATGAGTGACAAAGCACGCTTTTGAACCAAAATCTGGAAAATCAGATGCGTCCCAAGAATAAACAAGCTGGTAATCCTTGGTCTAACAGTAATTTTGATGTTGTTATTGTTACATTTTGTAGGCTGTTTTTGCATCTGAATACCAGAAGCATTTCTGATTAAGGGAGATGTGATTGGTGCACAGGAAGAAGTGATCAATATGCAAGACACTATTCTGATGGCAATCTTGATGGTCACAGGTCTGGAGATACTATGTTTGGGAGCCACGGCAGTGGAAGATTCCCAGTGTCAACGGATTGAGCATCCTATTGTTACAAGTGAAGGTAAGTAGTAGAGAAAGAGCTTTTCCAAATAATTCTGTATGAAAAAAGAGCAACTTGGATCTTTATAGACACAAATGTGTGATCTTTTGTGCATCTTATTTATTGTTATCTCACCCTGTTCAGAGGGATTCATACATAAAGGTTAGATGCCTGCGCAGAGCTCTAGAATTTATGGAATCATTTGGCAGGAGCCACGCAGCTGTCGAAACCTTTTAGTTTGCTTTTGAATGCCGTAAGGCTAACACAGTTGTCCTTGAGCTTATATTCCTGTGTTATCAAAATCTTTTTTTAAAATTTGCCACTCATCTTCAAAACTCCTTGGAGTTGTTTTTCAGGATACTTTGTCTTCTTTTTTTTGCCTTGGTAAAGGTTATGTAGTAAATATTTGTAGGTGCTGCTAGGTGTTGACTAACAGGCTGATTGCACTAATTCTTCTCATTTGCAAATCAGTTTGGGAGCAAGCTTTAAGAGTGGCAAACCCCGAAGCTGTTGTAGCCCCCTTCTTTTTCTCCAAGCTGTTGATTATGTCTGCAAAATTGTCTAGCAGTGTTCTCCCTTTGAAATTCAATTCTTCATGGTCTGCCGAGAAGCCTACTGCACAGTTACCGACACAAAATAAATCAACTATTAAAGATTCAGCGGCCTATAAGTGGCCTATCCATCTGATTCCAACCAGGACAAAAAGAAAATGAGGGGGAAAGTCCCTGTTCACAGTTCCAGTTCCAGCAGCCTTGAGTTCCTGCACACAGTGGCTTTCTTGGAGTGTGCTAACAGTGGTTCTGCTTTGACTGTCCAGTTCTTACCAGCTCAGTCATCTTGGATGATGAGACTAGAGATGGAACTCTTTAAGGTCTATTCCTTTGGACTGCCCTCTTATTCACCAGGACAATTGAAATCAAGACTTTTCCCTTCGGCCATGCCAGGATCACAAAGATTTGGTTACCTCATCCCACTGTCCTTCCAAAGAGTGACTCTCCCCATTTCAGTCATTTCCATGCTATCCTGTGGTGAACCATTAAGTTACCATCTGAAACTACAGGTAGTTCTCAAGTTATGATGGCAATTGGGACTGGGATTGCCATTGCTAAGTGATGTGGTCATAAAGTGCAGTGTCACATGACTGAGACAGAAATCCCAGCAGTCCCAATTGCTGTCATAATTGCAGGACCACGTGGGTCATTTAGTGGGAAGAGGTGGGAGTCCCAGATGGGGGGGGTGGGAGGGTGCCCCTGGGATCTTGTATTCCATAGCAGGCTCCTTGGGAGAAAAAGTAGTGGGAGCAAGTTACTGGAACAACTTCAGACCTTCCCTTCCAGCTTCCCCATTGACTTTGCTTGTGGGAAGGTGGCAGGGAAGGTCAGAAATGGCGATCACATGACTATGACTTGCTGCAATGTTGTAATCGTGAGCTGGGCACCTGAGCGCCTGGTTTGTGATCAAGTGACCGTGGGGGTGCTGCAACAGCTGGAACTTCAAGGACCGGTCATAAGTCCATTTTTTCAGTGCTGCCGTAACTTTGAACAGTCGCTGAATGAATGGACATAAGTCAAGGACTAACTGTACAGTTCTTTAAGTAATTGTCTGTGAATTTTCCCAAGTTGTACCCCCCTCCCCTCAATACTCCTTGGTCTCAGATGATCTCACTGGTTTTTGGGGTTTGCTGGGTCAGTTTCAGGAACATAAGGGGTTTTATAGGAATCACACTTAGGTCTGATCCACACAACTAGGTTGCCCCGGAACAAATACAGGCCACTAACCCTGGAACAAATACAGGCCACTAACCAGCATATGCGTACTTCATCCTCTATTACCTAGAAGGGAACTGCCTATCTTTTTCTGCTATGCATCAAAATAGTGTTTTCTGATTTGTACCAGCTCAAGAGTTATTGTCTGCTGCACTTCATTTCATGGTAGGCAAATCTTTCCATTCCAGTTGGCTACTGTGCACTGTGGCAGGAATGTTCCCTCCCTTCTGGTCACTGCTCTCCATGGCCATTTCATCCTGGGATGCTAGACCAGTGAAATACAGCACCTTTATTTTACAGGTCCCCTGGTGGAAGGATGAAAGGCAGGGCTTTCTTTTCTTTTTACAAGTTCACTGATGGAAGTGTAAAAGGATGGACCTTTCTTTACCTTTTTGTTTAAACCAGGTGAAATTATGAGAGTTCTGCCAAATGTGATCCCTCCCTCCCTTAAATTGACGAGACTTCTGCTAGTTTTTCTTCCTAGCCCAAACGGTAGAAGTAATGGTTAAAACTGTGTTTTCTTTCTTTTTTAAACTGTTAGTTGTCTTAGAAGGAAGGTGTCAGGTAGAGGAGAGTCAATGGGGTGGGGTGGGGAGACTCATAGAAAAGATCTATCAGTGGAAACTGTAGGTCTTCAAAGATTGGTGCTTTGTTTTCCACATGGTTTGGTGGATTCTTCTGGTTCTTTACTCTCCAATCAGGAATCATATGTAAGTAAGAAATATGACCTTGATGAAGATATGCAGGATCTGTTGCCAAGGCAAAAGGGGCTGAAGCATTGTTTAAGTCCAGAATGAGATAAAATTCAGAAAAGCCTAATTCACCGAACTATAAGAAAGAGGAGGAGGCACAGCGCAATCAGACTTGCAAAATTCTGTTGTTATAGTCAATCTCAATAAAAATAGTTTTAGCCTTCCTGTGGAGTTGTTCCTGGTCTGGTCTACCTAGTGGAGCTGACACCATAGCAAGCAGGACTCTAAGGAGGCAGAACAACAGGCTATCCTCATGGCCCAAGCAGAGGGAGGGGTTGAAATCCAGAAGGAGATTTCTTAAACCAGCTTCATTTACATCTGGTTTAAACACGGGAGTCAAGAAGCTTAAGGCTGGAGTGTGGAAAAATGCTTAGTTCTATTGATAGAAATTAGGGGCAGTGTTCCCACCAAACAATTTTGTAAGTTCTAGGACATTTCTAGCAGAGCTGCAGGTATATATCTGACGTATGTGATTTCACAAAGGATCACTTGAAGAATTATAGTTATGGGAAAAACCAGCTCTCACTACTGTTAGGATTAGGGATTAATTATGCTGAATTCTTGCATTCTGCAGCATGTGTGTGTGTGTGTACACACACACACACACACACACACACACGACATTAGACTTCTTATTATCCCATTTTAATTTTAAAAATCCGTATATTACATTGATGGCTTTAGATGCATCAATGTAAAATTCTGTCACAGCAAGCTTTGCTTCCATATACCAAGGGTTGAAATTTGCCATTCTGCTTCCTAGTAATTTAATCTAGTGCATGGGTACCTAAAGGTTGAAGGCAAAGGAAAATGAATAAGCAGGTTCTGTAGGTTACACATTAGAGCTTAACTACCAAGGGTGTATTAATTTAATTTAGTTTACTTTTGCCCAGCAAACTGCAATAAAAGGAGCCAGCATGGAGTTGAGTATTCTATTTCTAAATTTAACCTGTAGCAGTTTGAAAAGAAACACTGCTATTGCGTTTTCAGAATTACTGTATTTGATGAAAACCTCGTTTATGCTTAGCACTAGTTAGAAATAGTTTATGTTCTGCCAGGCCAAGATATGAAGTTTGAATCTGGTTAAGGCAAATTTAAATGCATATTTGGTGCTAATGAAGGAAATATATTCTTGTAGAGGAGGGTTGCTTGTCTTTCTAAACTTATCTGCCTTTCTGTTGTAACTTCTTTGGTGGTGTCTTCAGGAAAGATACTATATCATCTGAGAGCTGAAAGGCAAAGGAAGACAGCTAGATGTAATTGGAGCAAGTATTAATGTGAGTGTGAACACCCTGAGCAAAAAACGGGAGCTTGGTATGGGGTGGGGATGGGTTATGGTTTGGGGCCAATTATGAGACTTAACTGTCTTTGGTTTTGACCACCTCCTGTTTTGTTTAGGCCAGTGTTGTCCAAACTTGGCCACTTTAAGATGAGTAGACTTCAACTCCCAGAATTCCCCAGCCACCCATGCT